GTGGGTAGCTTGTTGCAATTCGTGTAGCATTATGTATAGTATCTCCGATGGAGGACACTGCGATTAGCACAACCATGAACTCTGCTTGACTACGCACATGCACATCCTCAGAATGCATCGTATGAAGTGGTTGGTCAACTCTTCAAGCCATTGAAGCAAGTTCCGATCTTGCATCCCTTACTCACACTGCTCCCAGTCGTAGCTAAACCCCTGCTGGGCACCATAATATTGGTTTCCAAGCTCCTCACTGTATGAGTGCTCACTATCTAAGACACCTTTCTGATCGTCTTTTCCTTCAACCAACATCTCAGTGCGGAACGAAAACGTCCCACTTCCGCAGTTAGACTGGGGAATGAGCTCAGGTGGGTAACTAATGTTAGAGTAGTGCTCTTGAGCGTACTGACCAGATGAGGCAGGACCAGTCAATGCAATAGTATCTGCGACCTGTTTGAGATGTCAGTGAAGTGGCAAGATGTTCTACATACAGCGTACCTCTGCTCTTCCACTCCCCTCACCCACGTAGTAAGCAAAGTCCCAGTAAACCTTTACTCCCTCATCCAACTCGTATGTCATGATTCCCTTGGTCCCATTCTTGTGCAGCCTCAGCTTATACTTCTCCGCCTCAGCAGTCTTGTTTACATCTTTGTATTCCTTGTATGATATAGTCGCCTCGCACCATGTATGGCGGGGGCCAGCCTGAAGGTCAACACGCATCCATGGGGATGCGATAAACCAATAGTAGATTTCACTACCATCGACAGTGTTGGAACCGAAAGTTAGGCGCGTGGTGCGTGAGACCGTGCCATTTTTGCCCGAGTCAGGACAGCCGGGACCGCGTATAGACGAGATGGTGAAAGACCAATTTGGGGGGAGGATGCGAAAGGGGTTGGATTGACCAAGAGCTGTTGTGAGGCCAACAAGAGCCACGACTGTGTTTGTGAATCTCATCGCAGAGATTGGCACTTGATGTACACAGGATGTTCAAATGCACTAGAAGCGGTTGTTTGTGGAGAGTTACTTGCTCTCGGAGGTCATTTCGTCAGTCTTTATACATGCGTATGTGACTTCCTCAGCTTGTATGCCTAGGTGAGACCCGGGGGGAGTCTGCCGTCACGATATTCGAACAATCTTTTGGATACCATCCGCAATTCAATGAGTTAATTACCCCACATCGTCATACATGCAATTCTATATTGCTATATCGGTGAACTGAGGGGATTCGCTGTGCAGACCTAGCGCTCGCTATATCGAAACCAAGCCACGGTGATATTTGGCGATATTTATGAGGGTCCGTAGGACGTACGTGATAGGAGAAGAATCTAGGTGGAAACAATCAGAGGTACAATTAGCTAATACTCATTTAAATTTAACTTGTGTCACCCAGAAGCCCGATATCTATACGACCAGTGTGCTTTGGTCGCGCATATGCAGAGGCGACCCCGTTCGTATGGGACTGCTGCATCAATATGAGCATGAAAGAAGTTGTGGGGGAACCCTGGAAAAAGAGGGTATGCAGTCCCTTGCTTAAGGTGCTGACGCTGTGTAGCACCGGCTGTGTTCGTCAGCAACGTGAAACATGACGAATGAAGGCAAATCGATAAGGTAACTGCTTCTCTATGCATAAAGTAGTATGGGTGCCTTTAGGCTGTGTTACTAGTTGTACGTGAGTAGATGTGAAATTGCTTAATGCAATCCCTGTTGCTCAGACTGCTGATGGATTGCAAGAGGTTGCGACAGGAGAAACTCGACAAGAATGACCCAGAAACGCGCTAATGACAATCAATGTATTCGATGCTACGTGGAAGATGACCAATACCAAAACCCCTTGAATGCGGTAAGAAAGTAAAATAGCTCCTGATCGCTCAATGCTCGAAACCGATACCCAGTGCACCATTGAGGTCCCGGAAGTCGCCCCTCAAGGTCTCAATTCCATTACGCTTGACTTCTTCAACTAAATCCTTGATTTTCGGTGTCATGACAGATGGCTGGAAACCGAAATATTCATAAGCCGTCTTGCTCGGCAAGCTCTTGCCAAAGCGGCGCATTGAGATAGCAGCGTCGGCATAGCGCTCCCAGCCGTTCGCCGCGTAAGCTTCGATAACGACGCTAGGCTTGCCAGCTCTCGGCTTCAGTACAGACTGTTTGTAGTCACGAGTCTGCTGTTCGAACAAGCGTGGGCAAGGGAAAGACACGACACGGGCTGTTATGCCATGTTCAGACTTGAGAAGATCGCGCGTCTGCATAGCGAAGACCATTTCGGATCCGGTACTGATGAGGGTAACGTCGAACTCCTCCTCTTCCACAAAGACGTAGGCTCCTTTAGCAAAACCCGACCGCGATGACTGGTTCCACTGAGGTAGAGCTTGGCGAGAGAGAGAAATGATGCTGGGTGTTTCAGTGGCCTTGATAGCAACCTCAAATGCACCGGCTACCTCCTCAGAATCGCAAGGACGCATGTAAAGCAGATTGGGCATAGCACGGTAAAGCGCGGCGAGAGCAATAGGCTGATGTGTAGGTCCGTCCTCTCCAGTACCGATCGAGTCATGCGTCGCGATATGGATTTGCTGTAAACCTTGCAACGCGCCCATACGAACAGCCGGTGCTGCGTAAAGGTAGAACATGAAGAAAGACGACGTGATTGGAAGGAAGGTGCCTTTGTTGAAAGCTGCAAGACCATTGGATATGGCACACATAGCGTGTTCGCGAATGCCATAATGTATGTATCGCCCAGTGTAGTCTCCGTTCAGGCCGCATGCGGTCTTAAGCTCAGGCTGAATGAAGTCAGTAATATGATCAGAGCTTGGTTGGCTAAAGGTTGGCTCTTACCGACTGGAAGTCCACCTTCTTCTGATATGCAACATTGCAAGACGGGGTAAGGTCCGCAGTGCCAACAAGAAAGTTGCCCATGCTCTCACCGAGAGGGTTACCAACCAATCCAGCCGACTTACGCGTCGCGGTCGGCTCACTAGGAAATTCCCCCTTCTGCGGGATGTACTTGGTCCAATCAGCAGGCATCTTGCCCGCAACACGGAGCTTAAACTCCGCAGCCAGCTCCGGGTACTTCTTCTCATAGTCGCTAACAGTGACAGACCAGTCAGCTTCAAGCTGCTTGCCACGAGGAGCCACGTCTTCAAAGAAGCTGTACATGGCTAATGGGAGAACGTAATGTTCATCTGGGTTCAGACCGAATGACTTCTTGATGTTCACAATGTCGTCGAGCCCGAGCGCAGCACCGTGGGTCGCTGGTGTTCCTGCCTTGCCCGAGCCAAATCCAATGACGGTGCGAATGTTGATGAACGTAGGCTTGTCGCTACTTCGGGCGTTCAGGAGCGCATGGACGATGCTGCTAACGTTCGAATGGCCATCAAGGATATCGACAACATTCCAACCAGTTGCCTTCATCTTTTCGTTCATGTCTTCCCCAGCATTTGCGACATCGGCAGTGCCATCGCACGTAATATTGTTGTTATCATAGATGATACAAAGATTGTTGAGCTTCCAGTGACCGGCTAGCGACACTGCTTCGAGACCCACACCTTCTTGAAGGCATGCATCACCAATCATGCACCAGGTCATATTGTCGACAACTGTGTAGCCATCCCGATTGTATGTGGCAGCAAGGTTCTTCGTGGCCATGGCGAGACCGACGGCATTAGCAACGCCTTGACCAAGAGGTCCAGTTGTGACTTCGACTCCCTCGTTCTCGATCTCGGGGTGCCCCGGGCAAATTGAGTCATATCGAGAGCTGTGATAGGACTTCAATTGCTCTGTTGTCATGCTTTCAACTCCGACGAGGTGCATGAACAGATATTGCCACAAGCAAGCATGGCCTAGTTGAAGCGTTAGCTCACATGCTCCGTTCCAACCGCTCGTTTGTAGCATTCGAAAGCCGCAACAAGGATGCACATACCATTTGATAGAACGAAACGATCGCGGTTGAAGTAGTTGCCGTTTTTCGGTGAAAATTTCATAACATACTTGTATAGGGCGACACCGATAGCAGCCATGCCCATGGCAGAGCTATAAGACTCTGTGTTAGGTTCGAACCAAAAATGAGTGTGACTGGAGTATCTTACCCTGGATGTCCGCCATTGAACTGTTGGCAAAGATCTGCGATATATGCGCGGAAATATTTGAGTACAAGATCGTGTTTATCCGACTGATCGAGCTCCACAGCAGCAATGCCAGTCACGTCATGAATCTTGGTTGCTACTGGTTTGATAGGAAGATCATTAGAGACCTTGTCGTAAAATTCGAGAGATGGTGACATGGCGGATGCAATGAAAGTGGTAGTTGAGAATGTATGCTGTATAACATCATCAGCAGGAGATTCAGTCTTTAAATGTCATCGTCGTTGTCGATTACGACTGCCCAAAAGGCCGCTGCAAGCGGGCTTCATCGCGACGAGATCGATTCGAGCACTTCCTTGTGGCCGTACCGGTCACTGTAAGATCGTTGGGTACTCCATTGAAGCTCTGCCGTACAAGAGCGTGACAGTAATCACCAGAGAAACCCGGATAGGCAATTCGGTGCGCTAGCGCAGTCAAAGCTAGCTTGGCTAGAATCCGATTGGAGCTCGATGCGAGATGTCGCAGCTACCAAGTTTCCTCAAGGTCTCATGGATGCGGGGCCCCAGAATCGCGAACCTGGGGTATGCGATAGGCAGGCTATGTTGAATCCTAATAACTAGCATGATGGCTTCTGAAAATGAGAAGCTCCGTACATTTGAAGAACTGCTTACACTGTAGATGGGCGTCACTCTCCAATATGCGTTACTTGAGATGCGTCACTCAACGCCATAGCCATTCATGTACACAGTTCTAAGACGATTCCAGGAGTTTCGCATGTATCATGAATTTGTGTTGCCACCCCAGACGTTAACTAGATCATCTAGTATTGTGATCGACGGAAACTTGCTGATACTCAAGACCATCCTAAGAATTTCGAGTATTTCTGCCTGGCGATCTTTTGTCTCCGTGCACAGTGCCGCTGATACCGATTCAGTTTGCATAGTATACACGGGGTTGGGTGAACAAACCTGCATAGATAGCCTGGAAGCAAACAAAAGCCGAGGGTGAGTTCTGCGATTGCTGTGCTAATGCTATACCGCAAATTGTCGAAGTGCTTTCGCGTAGGAGCTTGAAGCGTGTCTGATACATGTTAAGACCTCCGGTGGATGGCTGATTGAGTACCATTATGATTCGTGCAAAATGGTACATCTGAATAGCAGCGGCATGCGCGGGAGGATGTATCCATATTGGCGTCAGATTCGCTTCGAGCGCTGGATTCGGTGAAGATACATGATGTCCAGATTGGATGGGTATGGGCTCAAAGCTTGGCGGTAGGAGACTCTTCCATGCGTCTAGCATCCGCAATAACGTTTCTCCTGCTTCGATGTATCCGGCGATGTCACCCTGCTTAGGTGTTGCAGCAAACTGTACGCATTTTGCTGCGATGTATATAATACGTGTAGCCAGTCCTTCTGATGTAAGTTCGGCCATCGGCACTCTGGGCTGGTGTATTGTCAGCGCTGGCCGCCCAGTACGGAAAGCCGCCCAGACGTCTTGCCGTAGCCATGCCCACCAGACTGCTCGTTGCAAGCCATCGTTAGACTCGCCGCTTGTGTCTGAATTTCGTTGTATCCAGAATGCTCCCCTTAGATGGCGATCCCAGTTACTATGATCCGAGGTGCTAGCTGTCCCAAACATTTCTTGTCTCCGTTAGTATACTGAGCAAATATCACTCCCGCTGCTCGTACAAAGGCAATACGTACCATATGTCGAGATCATGATAGCAGTGACGAGTATTTCGCGAGACTTCGTATACGACTGATACAGTAAATTCTGAGATAGGTATTGCAGTGTTTCATAATAAAATTGCTCAGCAAGCGTTCGAATTGTCGGCGATGCACTGGAAGATGAAGCGGGCGTGCCAGGCGGCGCTTGTGACGCAATATCGTTGTTTGCATCCTGATCCTGAAATAGCGCCATATGACAGGCACCTACTGCCAATAAAGACTTCAGCAACCCTACATTATGCAAGGCCAGATGAGGCACAACATTAGCAAAATGCTTCACCGGGTCGAACAAGTCCAGTATTGGTGCTACCACGCTGACGTAGTGTTCGAAGTACACCAATTCTGGTCGTTTTAGCTCAATCTTCGTCTCTGTGTTCCATGGTTGCTCAGGTATCGCAATAGTATGCACATCGACGTTGCTGAAAGGGTTATCATTCGCTTCTAGAGCAACAGACTGTCGAGGTGATTGTCTTCTTGAAAGGCTAGCAATGTCGAAATTCCAGCGGTTGCTATGCGTTTGTCCTTGCATATTGTTGATCGCGTCTTCGGCGAGTAGATCATACCTATCAAGTCTTAGTTTCTAGTAGCTTCCATAAACAAGTTGGCATCACCATTCGACTGGTCCAAAGTTGGGGGTCAGACTATCCCCGAAATTAAAAAGACTGTCGTCAAGGAAGAAGTCGTCGTTGGGTATCACGCTCTCGGAGAGCCCTGGCTGTTCTGCGGGGAAAGGTCCCCACGATTGTATCGGTTCTACGGGCTCTGCACTTAGCGTTGAGATGTCTGCAGATCTTGGCTCGGTCTCATTACTTCCTGTCACAGAATCTGTGGTAGCTGAAATGTCGTCGGGGTTATACGCGCTTAATGCTCGTGGTCGTCGGGGTGTAGGAGCTTTTTCAGCATATACACACTCGCGGTGGACTCTCTCGCAATTTTTGCAATTTGGATGACTCTCATCGCACTTGACTTTGCGCTTGCGGCATGTCAAGCTGTTCCACTCGTTAGCATTTCGCTCATGATGCGTTGCGTTAAGGCAGCCTGGCACCTGCCTTCACAAAACACTGACGATCCGGAAGTTTGTGACTTACCAGCCTGTCGAAGTCCTCAGTCCACGTGATTTGGAGGGCATGTTGATCTGTGCTGGGGCTGAAAGGCAGTGTGCGAACTGGTCGTCTCGAGCGAGGCAGCTCGATGCGGGCAGGCGAACTGAAATACCAGGCACGCGGAAGCTAGCCGCAGTTGCGTGCTAACATTGGCAGAAGCTCCACATGCCCGTCGCCATCAGAGGCATTTGCTGCGGGGAACCCTGGATGCATTGGCAAATACGAGATGCTGAAGCACGGGGTGACGGGTGTCGTGGGTATGACGCGGATGAAGATCGTCCCGAGCCTTGTTGGTGTTATGTAAGCGGCGGTCGCGGCCTATCAGATGGAGACACCCTAAACCTGGACGAAAGATCGAGACTAGCGATATGTTGTAACATGTGTTCAGTCTCTAGGATAAACCTACTGTGTTGTACTGTTACTCTAACGTACTATGCGCGACTCTGATGGCCTCAAGACCTTTAGCTTACATCTAGCCCGGCCTCTGATAGCACCGTCCTGTCTTCTTCCCATTCTCCCAGAACACAAGCCGTTATGCTGTTTTTCTGTCCTTTCTCACATTATGCTTACCAATGCCCTTCGGAACCTCATAAATAGGATCTGACTGCGTACCGTCTCGAACTCTTGTAGTGATACCCTCGGCTTCGTAGTTGGGCTCATAAAATAGGCTAGCATTGCGAAAATGAATACCATATAATAGCCAGCGGAAGCCACGGGCGGTTGCGCAGCAGTAATCCCAAGGACTGGCCGCCTCCAGCAGCGCTTCGTTAGGTCCACACTCGTACACTTGCTCCGGAAATTTTGGAAGCCGCTCAATGTCGTATTGCCTCCACGGAAACGCCCAGTAGTGTAAGATAGCAAACACCAAAGTCTCAGCGCATGTAAGCAGACACGGGATTCCAAGATGAATATCGGAAAGCGAAATGAATCGCGTTTCATGTAGTACACGAAACCGGATGAGCAGGGAAATAAGCCATGTTTGCCAGTAAGTAAGGAAGACAATCAGCTTGACGCATACCATCTTGAGAACAGGTTTGTTGGGCGCGAGATCTTCTTTGAGCTGGTCGTAGACTTGATGCATGCAATACATGGCTATAAGGATAGAAACGGCGTCGAATATGGCTGTTCATGTGGATGCGTATCGCGGATTGTGTTCCTCTTTGCAAAGCCGACCGAATAATTGCGTGACGCCGGATATGATGGTTACGATGGTTCGGAGGACAACGTATTGGAAGATGCCGATATAGTTGATATATAGATACATCAGCGAACGTTTAAAAATGCGGGCGGCGCTGGCGCTAACGTTGAACCAAGTGACGCCGCATCTGGGCTTCCTCAGCCAGCCTTTATGTTCACCACCACTTAGCTTCTGGACCCAATTCAATGGCCAGCCCCAGTTCTTCGGTTCGGCACTGCGAAAATAGTTTTTCTGCTCGTGAAGATTGGGTGCTATGTAGTGACACATAAGCGTGAAGAAGCTCACAGTAGCGTAGGCGGCGTAGCATTCACGGATAAGTTCCCAGTAAACCGCACCGCCGAAGAAAAGGTAGGAGAAGAACGTGGTCCAAGCATAGACAGGGATGACAGCGAGGATGCGTATGATGTGTTTTTGTTCCCATGAGCGAAGGCAGTGCAGCGCGTGTTGCATGATGTGGAAGACGGAGAGGCCAACGGCTAATGAAGCTAGAGTACAGCAAACGTTGAGAGAAAGAAGACGGAATGTGACGTCCTCATCGCTGAAGGGTAGAGGCTCTTTGAGTACTAGAACTTGAGGATGGTCATTTCCACATGAACCAGCCATGGTGAAGGACGGTAATGAGCTGCGTAGACCGACGGATTCACGTTAGTATACTGTACGGTAAGGTGTCTCCTTCTCGAGACAAAAGGTTGATGCAGCAGCAGCATGAAATGTTAAGAAGTCGCAATGAGCACGTACCATCCACTCCTGCCTGACATAGCTCGTTGACCGTTTTCTGCCCGGATGGGGTAAACTTGTCGGAATAACATCGGAGAAAGCCCAGCCCGTCATCTCGGTTCCGAAAGTTCTTCATGCAAAAGTTGTATTCCTTCACGTAGCTCATCCTCTCCATATGTCTCCTCTTCTTCCTCTGTATCCACCTCGCCCTCGCCCTCTGAAGCCACCGCCACCTCTACCGCCTCTATAGCCCTCATCGCGTTCTTCACCAACCTCGACGATCCTGTCGTCTTCATCGAAACTGTATTTGTACTTCATCTCAACCTTAATACCCCGTCCTTTCCTAGTCTCGCCGGGTGACCAGTCTCTACTTGTCTCGGCTTCCAATTCCTTCAGTCTCAGTTCGGAGATCTCATCTGAAACAGGCAAGTAAAAAAGTTGAGGTTTCGCTTCTGTAGCGCTGAACAGGTCGTGGAGTGTTTTGAACGAGGCTTCAGTATCTTGCCGGGTGTCTTTTGACGGGGCGGTCGAAAGTGACGGTGTGAGTGGTTGTTGTATGGATGGTCTTCGTACGTCAATGCTTGCGCGTGGGCCTCGTGGTGCGTTTGCAGGAGCGCTTGATCCGACTTCTTGGAACACGGCTGTGACTGAACCATTGCTCGATTCGGAATACACAACCTCGAATCGCTTCGGGTTAGTCGGCAGTTTATTTGCACGGGCCTCTTTCTCTGCAGCCAACGCGTCCTCTTCCTCTCTAATCCAGTCTTTTACCGTCTCGTCCGGAACGAAATCTACCCATAACTCTTTCCTGTTGCCCTCTGGTGGCCAGATGGAGCCATGGAGCGACGCTCGTACTCGTGATGCAGCGGTCTTAGTACTGAGCAATACGAGAGCATGCGTCTTCAGCGAATCTAGGAAAAGGTCCTCAACTATGGTAGGGTCCGGTGAGCTAGATGGTGGCGAGGCAAGAGAAATCAAGTGTGCTCGCAGTGGCTCTGGACGCAGAGGGCGCATAAAGTTGCGGATGTACAAAGCAGATGTTACAGGGTGAAGTGCGGGTACTGTAGGCCTGTCATCAGTTAAGGCTTCCTGGGGAGTGTCGTCTGCGCTGGACTTCACCAGGTCTTTGTATCGAGCAGCCTTCTCCTTTTTCTCGCGCTTGGTATCTGCCTCCACGGCTGGTGGCTGCTCTTCGACTGGTGGGGTGCGATTTACGTTCGTTTCGTGTGACTTGACGTCTGTTGGGCTGTCGGCCTCTTCCTCCGGTCTTCTTTGCTCCATGACTGTGTCTTCATCTTCGTGCAAGTGGATTTCAGGAGCCTGTTCTTGAGCTGGCTTATGTTTCTTTGCCTTGATGTCCTCAGCTGCCATCTCCGGTGTGCCACTCCTTCTTTTTCTCTTCTTTGAATCTGCATCTAATTCCTCTGTGTTCAGCCTCGATGTGTCGATCATCGGCGACCCTGGAACCGCAAGTGTGTCTGGCTTCTCTACTGATTGCTGTTCATCTGATGCGATTGAAGCCATCTTCTCGTCCACTGTTGCATCTTGCAAGTCTTCGGCAAGTCCAGGTGGTGGCTGCACCATTCGCAACGCCTCAGCAGCCGGCCCAGGAGTATCTGGCAGCCCGTCCCCTGCAACCTGGACCTGTTTTACGTCCTCGACTTCCGCATCTGTAGGCTCTGTAACGGTTGGGCCAATGGGATCCGCGGGCGGCGCGTTGAAGACTCTCGCAGGTTGTATCGAACCGGGCTCGTCCATATTGGTGGCGTCTTCCATAGGCTCCCCTATTGCCTTGATCTGGTCTGGCGGAGGAATGTCGCTGTCAATGTGCGAGATTGTCTCAGGGAGGGGTTCGGTAGTCGCTACAGGTACGGGTGGTGGTTTCGACTCGTTTTCGTGGTTCGGTTGCTCTGGTTCTACAGATCGGTCAGTAATTCGAGGCTAACAATGTTGCATTCCTGCGCATACCTCCAGCCTCAGAGAGCGCGGGTCCCGGAGCATGCTCTCTGCCAGCAGTGTCGCCATGGCCAACTTCTTCCTTGACCTGCTCCACCGGATCGGGCGGCGCGTCTGCGTTCTCGGTACTCGTGTGGTACGCATTGGAAGTTTGAGCAGAACTCGAAGTTTCAGCACCGTCTGCCTCTTGTAACTTCTCGATAATCTGCGCTTTTCGTGTCAGGCCGGTACTCGGTATACTACGATCCTTCAACAGCTGCCGCAATTGCGCGACCGTCTGCTTGCTGTAGTCTGCCATGGTCGAATTATGCACTCAATTGTGGTAAGGATAACAAAGTGACAGTCGCATAGACTTCAGAGCGTCTATGCGCTTATCCACCCGATAAAAGAATGCTAGGTAAAGGAGAGTGAGAAGATGCGACAAGGCTAAGTGGCCGCGAACGTCACGCTTCAATGAAGTTCGCGTCCGTTCTAGGTAGACGCTAGTGGCTTGGCGTACATCAACGTCCCGCGCGCCACGTGGGGAGAGGGTTGCATTAACCGAGCGATCGTTGCATTCTGTCCTTTTTCTTGTGTTCGCGCTCAACTTCTCATGCCGGAGGAGAAGGACCACATATCATATATTCCGAAATGGTGACGACTTCACACCTGGTCGTGCGAGGGCTAGAGCAAGGAAGACTTGCTCGAACGTATGCGCGAGTCATACGAGATCTAAGACATTGGCAACCACGGGGTATAACATGGTAGCGCACTGGCTCTACACATCTCGAAAGATCGCATGACGTGGCTCTATTCAGTTATCTTGATTCCTGTACTAAGACCGTTACATATTACGCACACGTCTACTAGGTATGATTGCCTTCCAGCAAAGTGACAACCTCGATTTGAAAACTGTTGCTTGAATATTGCTTGAGTGTAGAGTGAAGCGTCTGCCAGCTCTTCCCTACTCCCTAGAATCTCTTGTCCTCGATCGAAAAACCTTAAATGCTTCACAACCTCGTCTCCCAACAGCGAAATGTAAGCACCAGAAGGAGCTCATTTAGATAAATCAGGACCTCAATAATTTGGGAGACTCGTGCAATGATCATTATGTACAGTTGTACAACAGGATGCTCGGCTTTACCGCATGTTTTGGTCAGCCCGTATACAGATGGCGGTGTTCGGGAACTCCATAGCCGTACTATTTGAGATTCTTCTCCGAAGGGGTCGGAGCGGGCCGGAACCACCACTGGCGTCGATCGCAAATGTGTTTAAGAGCTGCTATGAGGTTAGCTTTGATCTAAAGTGGACTTACAAAAGCCCGAAACGAGGCGAGCAAAAAGCTAATTGATGACTAGCGCGCAAGACAGGAGCAATGATGTAGATCCCAACGAATGAGCATTGGGCTGCTCACAGCCGATCTCAATATCCAAGAACGCACCATTCGCTTTAGGTAACACCTTCAGGCTTGAGTACAAGGTGTTGACTGAACTACAAAATTAACGTAATGACGAATAGCACCGTGCTAGCTTGTAATGATGAGCTTGGAAAGAGCGAACCTTTGTATATAACACTGTTGTCCCATCTTAAGACCAGACCACACCCAAGTACCCAACTCACAATATTCTCTTTATCATGGCACGTCTTTTCCTCCGAATACTGCTTGCTGCCGCGAGTTTCGTCGCTGGTCAAAGCACAACATGTCCAAATGAGGTTGCTATCTACAATCAGCAAGACCGTACCATGAGCACGATTAGCAGTGAATATAGTCTTCATCGAAACCAAACAAGACCGTGTACTAACATATGCTACAGGTTGGTTCCTAGTCCCTGTGCCGAAGGACGCTGTGAAGAAGGCTCTAAAGGAATCGTTCTCGAGTTTGGTCAACCTACAAGGACTAAACCTGCTGCCTCTCCCAGCGGAACTGAACTTCCCGGCTGGCATGCACCCCGTCATTGTCAATGCTGGAGCAAATACCGACATCCGTCAGGGTGGTCTCCAGCTTGCCACAGGATTGATGACTGCCAGCTCCATGATACCATATGTCGGCATCGGCAACTCCCAGACGCCACTCAATGCACCGCTTGTGTCTCTCCTGGCAGGCGTGGACCCGGTGACGCAAGGCTATGTGTTCGGTCTCATACCTTCTCTGGTTGGTAAGTAAACGACATTCGTGTACTGATATCAGTTCATCATAGCTAATGCTCAATTGTACAGCCACCATAGGCGGCCTTCTCACTAGGATCGGCGCTTTCCTCCCACTAAACGCACCTCTCCAGACATACAGCGATGGCTCTTTCGGCATCAATTCAAAGTGGGCACAACTACCCAACTCTCTTAGCGGCCCAGGTCTGTACGCCGAGGCTATTGATCTCAAGTTCGTCAGCGAGCCCAACCAAGCCATGCCCAGGTACTCTCTCGATATGTGGAAGAGCATGTTGAACCAACCTCTCATGCTCGGCAGCGTCGGTAGCCTCCTTACCCCCAAGTGCCAGCGCAACACCCAGTTTTTCAATAACGCCACGGCACAACCGACTTTCCGCTCTGGTAACGTAACGCTTGGTCCTTCGGCAGGTGTTGATGTACTCGCTGCTACCTTACAAAAGGCCAGCCCGGATGGTTCAGGCTTTTACCAGAAAGTTTATGGATTTACTGCCTGTGCGCAGACCGTAGGCTATGGCGCTGTTATTCCGCTAGGGGAGGACTGTGAGGAGGCTGCGCAGGCTGTTAAGAACACCCCTGGAGCCTTGTGAAGAGCAGTATTAGATCAGATCATGTTGACGAATATTTTATAATATCCACTCTTCCTTCGTTGGCGACGTGCTAACGAAATTTCAATGTAATGTTTGTCGATTGAGACGGGAGGCAACTGCCGCGATACGAAGATCGTCACGTCATTACAGTCGCGTTTCCAAACCTGTCGCTTTCACAGTGCACACGCGTCTTTTCCTTGACTCACTAGCCACCCTCTCATCTTCGTGCGAGTGTACTTGTTTCGCGATCTGTCAGCCGGAAAAATCTCCGGTTCTTCTGAGAATAAAAGCTCGAGGATGCCGAGTAATGAACGTACTTTGCCATGCTGGGTTAGTGCAGCTGATTAGCACGCAAAATCTACGTCACATTGACCGGAGATGTCCAACAGCAATCGTGGGTGGCCTCTGTTTCTAGACTATTATGCGTTTCATGGTCTTTTCCCTCTGTTTTTCCTTGCGGATTTGATGTCGAACCTATATGGATGCCTGCTACCTGTCGTAATTTCACATCATCATCTCATTGTTTGAACCACACATTATTAGGAGAACTGAGTCAATTTTGAGCAATTGCAAGTCCCTTTTGAATTACGCAGCAAGAGACTATTGACTAGTATCATGGTTTCGGAAGACAACACAACCCCTCCATCAACATCGAATGCAGATGTAGATCTCGAAAATGGAAGGCGATCAAGGCCAAGGCAGCGGAGCAAATCGACGTCTGGATCATCCTCGGATTATGAAGAAGAAGAGAAGGATCTTCATCATGACGGTCACCGTCCATCCCGGAGAGAGCTTCATGAAAGCATCTCGCGCTCGCGCAGCACACGGAGCTTAGCACGAGACAGGACAGTAACAGCGACCGCGAGTGGTATGAACCAGCCATTGGGCGACACGATTTCCAGGCGCGACACAGTACTTTCACGAATCCGTACACGACCGAATGTTGCACCATTCTCCCATCCTCTCGCACATCAACAGACGACGGCAGATGTGCTGGTAGACTTCGATGGCGATGACGACCCATACCGACCGATGAATTGGCCTACTAAGAAGAAGGTGACTACGACCCTGATGTACGGCTTTACGACTATGAGCGCGACATGGGCATCTTCTGCATATTCGGCTGGCACACGACAGATAGCAGCCGAGTTCAATGTTGGAAATCAGGTAGCTGTATTAGGTACTACGCTCTTCCTCTTCGGATTCGGCCTTGGTCCGCTACTGTGGGCGCCACTCTCCGAAGTCTATGGGAGACGACTAGCAGTCTTGACGCCTATGCTTGTCGCAATCTGCTTTAGCTTTGGTAGCGCAGTAGCAAAAGACTTCCAGACGCTAATGATTACTCGATTTTTCGGTGCCTTCTTTGCTAGCGCACCAGTCACAAATACCGGTGGTGTCTTGGGAGATCTTTACAGTCCCGCATGGAGAGCTTTGGCGATGGCCGGCTAGTAAGTTTTGCCTTTACGAAATGCATATGAGACATACACTGACTTCGTATTTTCAAATCGGCAGTGCGATGGCAGTGGTCGGAGGTCCATGTCTGGGACCTATCGTATCGGCGGCCTTTGTCGCCAATCCTTCATTAGGCTGGCGATGGACCGAGTACTTTACCGGAATTCTTCAAGCAATTATCCTCGTCATCGACGTTGTCTTCATTGACGAATGCTACCCACCAAAACTTCTCGTCTACAAAGCGCGTCGCCTGCGCCACGAGACAGGAAATTGGGCGCTCCACACCAAGTTCGAAGAGTGGGATGTTAGCATCAAAGAGTTGTCTAAGAAGTTCCTTCTCCGACCGATACAACTTCTCATGACACCCATCTGTTTTCTCGTAGCACTTTACGCCAGCTTCTGCTATGGCATCCTCTACATGCAATTAGGTGAGTTCAGGGCGTATGAATCATATGCGAGACATGCACTGACTTTAAATCTTCTTTTCTGCAGGTGGCATTCCGATTATCTTTGGGGAAATGAGAGGCTGGCCAGCTGTAAGCGCGACACTGCCATTCCTGGGCATCTTAGTCGGCGCAATAATCGGCTGCAGCATCAATGCCTATAATCAGATTCTGTACAACAAGGTCTACCATGCAGCTGGAAATCGTGCGGTGCCTGAAGCACGTTTGCCGCCGATGATGCTTGGATCTGTACTATTCTCCGCTGGTCAATTCATCATGGGGTGGACTGCGGATCCACAATATCCTTGGATCGCTCCTGTCATTGGTCTCGCGTTGATGGGAACCGGTTTCTTCACCATCTTTCAAGCTGCTCTAAACTACTTAGTTGACACTTTTACATTGTATGCGGCGAGTGCAGTAGCGGCGAATACCTTTCTTCGAAGCGCTTTTGCAGGCGCTTTTCCATTGGTTGTCACGCCGTTATATCATAACATTGGAGTTGGCCCCGCAAGTAGCATTACTGGTGGTTTCGCAGCACTGCTTATCCCAGTGCCTTTTGTGTTCTACATATACGGGAAACGGATCAGGCGGTCAAGTAAGTGGAGCCGTGGTAGCGTGTTCGATTGAGCAACGGATAGGGAAGTATATCGATAACATATTGATGATTGTACTTCTGTAATGTACCAGGTCGATAAAACTTATTCTGAATTAAATTTGTCCCACATTGACACACACAAAACTCCCCGAAGGTACAAGCTGCCAATTTCCTGTAGAGTTTTAATGCAGATCAAGGTGTTTAATTTCGTGGTACATTGTGGTAAACCTAAATACAACTTTAGTGGTGTTTTACCGCATTGAGACAGGAACGAAGTGGCTTTGAATGGCTTCAGTAGTACACAAAGTGGCGAAGTGCAAGTAATCATAAGGTGAAAAGCCAATTAAATGACATACGCATCTTCGCCGGCTCCTTGCAGAACTTGCACTAGGCAACAGAATTCGTGCTCACATCATGCTTCCTCACGCGGCGGAGACCGAAAAGGATCTGGACGTCGACATAGGCGAGTATGACATGCTCTATTTTGAACGAGAGCGCATCGAAGATACTTAGCACTCACGTCAGAGCTCATGCCGGTTTCGTGTTATCTATAGTCAAGTAGGCAGCGCACGATAACTGGTCCAAGAAGATGACCCAGCGCCATGTCTGGGCATATTTGACAGAGTGCGGTACATTTTTGGTATCGTTGCTGTGATGAAGAAAGGAACAATGTTGAGGTACGGCATTCACGACTGTAATAACGTACCAGCGCGCCGTTCTACTCCGACGCGTCTCAGACATCTGCCATCCACTAACACTTGCACTGGCATAAGCTGAATGATGTTCACGTACGGACCAGATCAAACTTAGGTCATCACGATTTTTATTTGTTAAGTGACGTTCAGTAACATGTGTTCCAGAATTGCGGTCTATTAGAAAACAAGATAATGGAGAGGACCATCCGTGACCGAATGGTGGCATCGTCTAAGTAGATACGCATCGGTTCGAGATGCAGAGATGAGGTGTCGAATAGCTTCGAATTCTGATAGGACTCAAAAAGGCTGGAGCATACGACATATGTGTACATGTTGTGAGCAGTGGTTCGTGCATTGCTTCTGTATGTTTACAAACTCGCTATACTTGGAACGCAACGCCTTCTCTCTTTACCATGGCCTTTCCACCACTTGCAAATCCAGTGCCCTCACTCCGGATCTCCACAAGTCCAGGCCTGGGCGCCTTCTCCTTTTCTTTGTCCTTCTTCTTCTTCTTGCCATCCGTAGCGTCCGGGACTGTAGTGAGATCCGCATCACAAACATAACAGTGTACAGTCTCCGGGTCAGGTCCATCGTCATGTGCATCTCTCTGATGGCGATGTTCTGGCTTGAGAAACTTGTCGACACATGGCTTGCAGAGGACGTGGCCGCATGGTATAGCTAGCATGGCTTTTGTGTTATTCGAGAGCGCTTTCTGGCAGCTGGGACATGTGCGGACAGACTTTCCGGTATCGGCTGACTTTTCTTCGTGGAAGTTGACGCTCGTCAGGCTTTTTAACGACAGGCTGTGCGGTTGGTCAGGGTGGCTAGACGGGCATATAGGTGTCTGCCTCGCCTTCTCAGCGCTTGTGTGGTGTTGATCGGGGGTCTCGCCTGGGACCCAGAAGCTGGGTAGATGACCCTTTGCTGCTTTACGTTCGGCGTCTAGTGTACGTTTCGCCTTGCTTTGCTCTTCGTCTGCGATGCGCTTGAGCTCTTCTTCGTCGATTTCGAATTTACGTTTCGTGCCTCTGGTCTCTCCAGCCTTTGCATCCTGCTCCTCTTCTACTATGATCTTGCCGTCCTGCCTTCCAATGACTCTTGCTGATGCGCCTGCTTTGACGGAAAGCCCCATCTGAACAGCCTCAAATTCCTCGACTGCCCGCAACCGCGCTTCCTCTTCTTCTCGAAGCTTTTGATCCTCATCTTCTAGCTTTTGGCGTTCGTTGATTTTTTCTAGCCTTTTCATTTCTTTCCGTTGAGCCAAAAGATTGGTCATGGCACACTCGCGGCAGAATAAATCGCCCTGTGAACAGCATACTGGGTCTACTGAAGGAAGGAGACATAGCTGGCATGAGCCAAACGGTAGAAAAGAGTCACGAGTGAGACGTGTTGCCTGCGAGCCCCACCTATCTTTGAGGGCATTCCGCTCGTAAGACGTGAAGATGGTCTTTGGAGGCGGCATGTTGAGCCAAGTCTAATGTGATAGAGTCGCGAGTCGCAGAATGCGAAGTTTAGACGCGACTTTTCGTGATGCAATCAATAGAGATGGCAATCCGGGTGATAGTGCCAGGCTCAATCACACGATGGGGTGTACCAGACTTGATGATGTGCACGGGAATTGTGAATGCACGTCTAGTGTTGTAAGGTATTGGGCTCGTGTTGTAGTGGTGGAAGAGTGAGTGCTGAAGGCGGAAGAGCCAGCCACTCGCCGCACGTGCAGGCCGCAATGCCGCTAATCCCTGTCGCAGAATTCCCAGTCCCTGGCGGCGGTGACGTTGGTTGGTCGCAGCAGCCAGCTATTGGGCGCGAAATCTTCACATGTCGCCGTCAACCCCACGACAACCCCAATGCGACCAGAGGAGCAGCCGGAGGCTCCCAGCGGGCCATGGCGCGCGGCGTCCGTCTTCACCATGGGCGCTGTCGGCCTCTTATGCAAAGGTTTCCTGACCGGGCTGAGCAAGGTGGAGACGCACGGAATGGAGGGCTTCTTGAAGCTGCTGGACGAGAGGGAGGACCCGGCGAATAGAGAGAGGGGCCTGATTACTGGTATGCCATTGCAAAACAGGTAGAATGCAACAAGTACTAATGAATGCTCAGTCTCGAACCACATCTCCGTGTACGTACGTTTGCCGTAACCTCGCACTCGCAAACCATGGATTCCGCTTATACAATTTGGACAGAATGGATGATCCGATATTATGGGGCATACTGCCTCTCAGCTACATGTTCAACCCAGACAACCTGCGCTGGGGACTGGGCAGCTACGACTTGTGCTTTACCAACAAGTATGTTCCCTCTAATAACATTGCAACATGGTCAACTAACGCCATACCAGAGGACTGTCAACATTCTTCACCTTCGGGCAGGTTCTCCCTACACATCGATCGGCGCATTCTCAATTCGGCGGCCTCTTCCAGCCTACCATAACGCAAGCGATCCGTCTCCTCTCGCGCGGGCCGTTCTACGAGCAAGACGCACCAGTAAAGCCTACAACGTCTCTCAAGAGCCCGGATCTGATCGACCCCTTCACTAACGGCCACCTCACATTCTCTACAAATGGACATGACACGTTTCCTGCGCCCTCAGCATATCTCAGCCGGCGGCATGCATGGGTACACATCTTCCCAGAAGGCATGATCCACCAAAGTGAAGACCGGATCATGCGCTACTTCAAATGGGGAGTATCTCGACTGATACTGGAGAGCGACCCGATGCCAGACATCGTTCCCATCTTCATTGAAGGCTTCGACAATATCATGCATGAGACGCGCACATTCCCACGCTTCATACCACGGCCGTTTAAAAACGTTCGAGTGACATTTGGCGAGAAACTGGATGCTGAAGAGGTGTTTGGCGATTTGCGCGCACGCTGGAAACAGATGCGCGCAACTGAGGAGCGGAAGGAGGGCCAACTCGAGGTCGGTGTGCTAAATGAAAAGCTCAAATACTCTCCAGAGGCTGTCAGCATACGCAAAGAATGCACGCGACGGATGCGGCAGGCAGTACTGGACGTTAGGCGGCAGCGCGGATACCCTGAAGATGACCCCAAGAACAGCCTCGCAGAGACATGGTTGAGAGAAGGCCCAGGTAGAGAGGGTCGCAAGGAAGATGGCAGCATCACAAAAGACACATGAGGCGCTTGAAGGGCATATTGTATTGTGTATGTATATGCGACTGCAACGTAGAATGCTATAGAGGAAAGCAAAGGGGTGAAACATGGCACCCAAAGAAGGATGCCAGGCAGACGCCTCGTCAACTTGGAAGCGCGGCAGAGTGTCAGATTAGATAAAGTAATTACACCATCAACGACCCCCGCCTCTGCGCGCCGATCAACCACAACCTCAGGCGACCGAGGGGGTTTCGTCATTGCGAACAGAAGCAGGCACCGCGATGCTGTTTGGACATGGCGGATGTGTCTCTGGCGTGCTCGTGTCGTCATCCACTGCTGGCTCCGCGCCCTCACCGAGACCTTTCCAAAGCGGACCTTGGGCAGGAACGATGAAGGTGACGAGGCTGAAGAGTCCAAGCCCGAATCCGGATTCACGGTTTTGTCGGGAGGGCGCGTAGGGCACGGGCCCCAGGCGCGCGGGCGAGAAAGTAGATAAAACCTGCGTGTCCCGCTCTTCGACAGTGGCAGATGCTTTCACCGCCCGCACCACACCAAGACCGAAGCAGCTTCATAGCGTCACCCAGACTCGCTACAAGACCCAATTACCGCGTCATCTCTCCAAGGTCCCTGTCCTCCAAGCACCAGCCAATGGACAGCAACTGGGCCCCACAGTCGCCAGATTTATCTTCCTACTACTACTCCGCTGAGCAGCCTACTCATCCCCAGCATACAGGTTACAGAAGTTCCATTTCCCACGTCGCGCCGCCCTTTGCTCCGACACATCCTGCTCCGACACTGCAGGCCAACCCTGCGCCACAGCCTTTTATGCCTCGCGGCGTCAAGAAGGAGGAGAGCATGCAAGATGCAGACTACATGCCTGACGCGTCGGTGCCCGCCATCATGGCAGACGCGGGCAGCGGCCTCGGCGGGGCAGACACGCCCAACACCGACCACATCACCATCAAGAACCACTTCCCGGTCGCGCGCATAAAGCGCATCATGCAGGCCGACGACGATGTCGGAAAGGTCGCCCAAGTCACGCCTGTCGTCGTTTGTACGTACTCGTCATTCTATCCGCACACGCACTTGCCTAACACTTCACAGCCAAAGCGCTCGAGCTCTTTATGATTTCCCTCGTCACCAAAGCCGCCGCCGAAGCCAAGGCGCGCAACTCCAAGCGCGTCGGCTCCATCCACCTAAAGCAAGCCATCACCAAGACCGACCGCTTCGACTTCCTCAACGAGATCGTCTCCAAGGTCGCCGATGCGCCGGAGAAGAACGAGGGTGACATGGATGTGGATGGCAAGAAGAAGAAGACTTCAAGCCGGAAAAAGAAAAAGGCGGAAAGTGACGACGATTTCTGAGTCGGACGTCGGCAACTCGCTATGGGCCTATAGCCCTTCTTCGTATGTCTTTGTATGCTCGTGCTGAGCTCTTACTGTGCACATTCGAGGCGGCGACATTGCTGCTGGCCACCTTCGCGCGGTCTGTGACAACTGCCAGAAGACTGCACACTGTTCATGTGGCCAAAGTCCAACCTTCTGACACTCCAACTGGGGGTGGGTTCGAAACACTAGTACCGGTACTTTATGGATTATCGCCATACCTTTCCGTTGTGTGGTCATGTATCTTGGTGGCCACAGATTACGGCCAGTCACGACGTTTATAGATGACGCTTCTGGCAGCCAAGGCGTTAACTATTCCGGGACATTGCATGGGCGGCGTTGTTTTGTTATTGCATGGATTACGATACCAATGAATACTGATACATGATTCTTCTCAATCGGTGCTTCTTCGCCCAGTCGTGTCGCTAACGGAACAATTGTGTCCGCGGTCCGAATACAGCGCAAGCGTCACAATCGCAGTTTACGCGGTGTGTAGCCGATGGATAAACAGCGTTGCGAGCAAAAGAGCGCGCCCACCAACCAGGTTTTCTCGGTCCGCGCAATTTATCCGCCCATCTCCACAGATCCCCACAAGTTAACGGTACCCCAGATACCCTTTCAGGAACAGGCCGTAGATCGGTTCCTGCGCCATCCCAGATGTACGCTCGTGTCTATGATTAGCCTCATTTCTTTCCCTACATCCGTAATTTGGGGATCGTGGCAGCGGCAGGGTATTAAACATGCGGATACCCGGTGTTTTTGTCGGTCGTGGCATCGTCATACTCTCAAGCTGTCAATCGAAGAACGGTTGAGCCAGTATGATCTTCTCGAGGTTAGCAGTGCTCCTAGTGGGCGTTGCAGTGTCGGTACAGGGCCATGCGATTGAGATCGAGTCGAGAGCCTCTGGCAAACTTCGCCCCAACCCTTCCAACGGCCACTGGGTCGATGCGTGGGCATCAATGCCTCAGCTCACAGAGCCAGCGAACCTGCCGCCTGCTCCATTCGTATGTTACATCGCTCATGCACTATCGAATTTGTACTAACACCACGTACCAGAATCAAACAGGCGCTGTCTTTGTCAACTCTACGATCAGACAAACTTTGTACATGACCACGTCAGCCCACCAAATTCGCCTTAAATTCTCCAATGTCTTTGGCGGTTCCAATCTTCCCATCACCGCCGTCACAGTTGCCCTCCCTGTGAACCAAACCGCTGGCATCTACCAGGTCCAACCCCAAACCGTCCAAAAGGTTACCTTTGGAGGAAAAGATGGGATCAGTGTACCGAACGGTGCCCTCGCAGTGTCCGACCCCATAAATTTTGAGATCAAGGCGCAGCAGATCGTTACCGTAACCATGTACCTTGCGAGCGGACAGACGACAAACAGCATCACCAGCCATCCTGGCTCCAGAACTACAAGTTGGTGGCAATTCGGCAACGCAGTCTCCTCAGCTAGTCTCGACATCAGCAACTCTACCACACAGTCCGCAGCACATTGGTACTTTCTTTCCTCCATCGAAGCCTGGGTTCAACCGCGTGTTGGCTCCCTGCTTATTGTTGGCGACTCCATCACTGACGGCCGTGGATCCACAACCAATCAAAACAACAGATGGCCCGACCTGCTCCTTGCGCGCCTTCAAAAGAACCCCTCAACCAGGTACATTTCCGCGGGTAACCTGGCTGCAGGTGGAAACCGTATCTTAGCAGACGGTCTCGGCCCCAACGCGTTCGGCCGTATTGATCGCGACGTCCTGGCGCATCCTGGTGTAAAGTATGCCATGATCTTCGAGGGTGTAAATGATATCGGAAGTGCACCTACAACACCCGAAGCGCAAGAGCAGATTTATCAAGGACTGACTCAGGCGTACGAGCAGATGGTCACCCTTATCCACGCCCACGGCATCCCTGTTTTCGGCGCTACTATCACACCTTTCTCTGCACCAGCCAATTTTACTCAACAACCTTACTCTGATCCTGAGCGCGAGAAGACACGTCAGCGGGTCAATACTTTCATCCGCACCTCCGGTGTTTTTGATGCCGTCGTGGACTTTGATAAGTTCCTGGCCGATCCCAAAATACCGAGTCAACTCAACCCGTTGTATGATTCTGGAGATTATCTTCATCCTAATCCTGCCGGATACCAGTACATTGCGGATAAATTCCCTATTCAGATTTTTGGTATGTGGGCGAATGGTGCGGATGAGTTCAGTTGGGGTATGTAATACGGCGGAGAAAGCCATACTGCAGTGACTATTGGATTTTGGGAATGTATATATCGAAATGTGCTAGTACGATCATGCGTCAGCCAACATGAGCTTTTCAGGAACATATACGTAATTGACGTAAACTTTGTACTCGATGTTTTGGGTCACGCGGGAAGGACTCGTAACTTGAACTCTGATACCAATATCGTGCGCAAGGAGATGTCACATCGCTCTCCAGATACGTCTGCTGCGAGATCCTGCAGCGTCTCGCAAGGCAAGTCCAGGCACGCAAACACATACCATCTTCTATTTGACTTTAATATCAGCGAACTCGGACGAACACTGGCTTGAAGACCAAGGTTTGGAAAAGTATCTCTAAGCATCCAAATATGTTAGGCACTCGCTACATGTGCTCATTTACGGTTCTTCCTGCTCAAAATCACCTCTTCACCTCCACTCAATTCCTCCTCGAAGTCACGATAATGGACGTAATGCGATTACAGAGAACGAAGATGACGCCTAGTGAGCCACGCCTAGAACAAGATTACGTAGTCACATGTAAAGACCAGGTTTGGTGTCAAAACCAGACTTAGACTTCTGCTCGCTGATCGATCACCAAAAAGGCGTGTTCGTACGGAAGGATTTGGGGTTTCCAGAACGAGTCCTTTGACTGGAACATAAGAGCCTAGTGTGCGCCTCACAGCGAAGCAAAGACTCGAAAACGCGACGTTGTGTTGAGTCGTCTCTGTAAAAAGCATCAGATCCATCGTGTGCTGGAGTTGATTTTCGTATATACATCAACAGGATATCGCTGTCCAAGGTATCTTCCCTAAAAGATAACCAAAGTCGCTACTGCAAATCGAACGCCGTTTTGAAACCGCCCGTGATCAGAGTTCCGTAATGATGATAACGCCATGCCGACAGCCCCAGAGCCATACATCCTGTCACCAGTTTGCGTGTTGTGTTCCCTACACAATACCTTGCGAGAACCTCTCTACGCCATTCTTGATCTCTCTCACGATCTCCACTGCCTCGTTGGTGCTCTGAGCTTCAAAGTCATATCTCTTCGTCTCCCTCTCTTTGAAAACAATGACTCGGAACATCTTTGGGTGCTTTTTGCTGACCTTGCTACCGACTACACTGCTGAAATGCACAGTCGTCGTCTTGCCCTGGCCTTCAACACCAAAACCACCACGCGCCCCAGTCTTAGACTCGCCAGGCATGATGTGTATATACTCGTTATCAAGGGCGATGATCCGCGATGTCGAAGAGGCAAAGGACATGGGTTGTTTGCGGAGAACAGCATAACGGCGGTAGTAATTCGTCGCAGGAAGGGCCAGAGCACCAGAATCGCCAGTTCTGGCGAGTGGATGGATGAGACCTTGGCCAGAGACAGCTGCATTTGTTCGGTCACCCTTCTTTGTCTTCTTTGGCGCACCGCCGGTACTGATGATGAGAGGTGCATTGGGTGATGATGATCCAGGCGATCCTGCAAGCCCATAGACGCCGTCACCCACGAAGCGTCGACGCACGAGATCCAGATCCATTCGTGTGTCGAGAGCCTCCACAGTGCGGTCAGGTGGCGCTACTGTAGTGCTGCCACTCACTTTAAGGATGTACAAGGCTTTCTCCAAGCGTAAGTCGTGACATACTTGATCGAATATATCAGCAATGTAGGTGTCCGTAGTGCAGGGAATGTTGAAATGTTTCGTGTTGAAATTCTCGTCAGTGAAGTGGACGTTGACTGTTTTGGGGGCGCCTGTGCGGCTAGCAGCATGTGTTTGAGGTACCTTTGGTACGTCGGCAAGATTGCTGGTATCCTTGCGCGTCGCTGTCGGCGCAAATGAAGGTCCGGTAATGGGGTTTCTGAAGCTCTTTGCACGGCTTGGAAGGGGCTTCAGGGGCTTTTTCTCCTCTTTCTCGTCGGGACCATCGATTTGCGATGCGACAGCACTGGCTGCCTCTTGACTATAGATCGGCGTGAGCTTCTCGTTCTCGCCAAATTCTCGTTGAGATGCCTCGACGAGCGCGAACTCGTCCCATGGCTTATCTCGCGCTCGAGGGCGCATGCCACGAGCATTGTTTGAAGCAAAGTCTTTCAACGGCTTGTTCCTAGTCAAAGGCGGGAACTCGTCATCAACCTCGCCGTCATCATACATGCGCATGACCCAGCGGTTCACATTCATCTGTTCAGGAGAAAGTGGCGGTTCGAGTTTCTCCTCTTGATAACGATGCAATGCGTATCCGATCGCTTCCGCGACAGTGGGGCCTTCACCTTTGTCGTTGAACTTTCGGATGAGCAGCTCTACAGGTTTCGAAGGCTTAGACGAGAATGGGCAGTAGAGTTTGATGTATAGAGGGTTCTGTTGAGCTTCGCTAGCAGCATTCCACATAGCAAAGCGCTGTAGCGGATTCGATGGCTTCTGCTCTTTGGCTCGAAGTGCTTGAGTCAACGCGCTTACTGGCAGTACAAAGCTGATCGGCCGTGGTGGAGGCAGTGCTTGCAGTGTTGGCGCAATGGGCTCTTTCTTCTTTTTTGGTGATAGGTTCTGGAAAGGTGTCAAGCCCGGCATTGTGGGAAGGTCACCACCTGCGGGAGAGGAGTCCAACGGGTCACCACCTGCACCGATAAGAGATGCGCTATCGTCGGAGCCAGAGAATTCGGATGTGAGGGAGTCGTCTGATTCATCGCCTTCGTGTAGAGCTTCAAGGCGTGCGCGTGCGCCGACAGCCCCTGCTGCGTCTTCCTCAATACGCTTGGACAGCAACTGGCT